TACCCATCAATCCGTGTCCCTCTCATCTTAAGAGGGAAAGATTAGATGTGGCACATAAATGTGAGCGTGGTGTCCCCTGGTGAGCTCAAAGCAGGATGAAGATGAATTTCTTATAGATTGGGTCCCTAAGAAAGAAGACTGGGATCGAGCTCATGGTTCTGGAGAGACAAGTGCTCTCTCTTGGTATTTAGAGGTGAAGGTTTTCAAATGAAGCACTCCTGCACCCCAACCCCTACATTCCCCTTGCCAGCTAAGTGTCTTTGCCTGCGTGTTTGATCTCTTCTGACCTCGGAGTCACCATTGTTAAAATGGTGACAATTTTATTTGCTAATGGTATTAAATGATATAATGCTTTGCCATGGTCTACAGAGTCACATCAACTTCATGGGAAGCTTGTCAGAAATGCAGTTTCTCAGGTACCACCCAGCCTCACTGCCAGAATCTGCGCTTTAACAAGTTCTTGAAGGTGCTGACCCATGCATGTAATGTGCACACAGTAAGCACTTAGTAGATGTCATTTTTTTTTCCTCCTGGGTTTCCTGTTTCTCCCCATCCCTTCCTCTGTCTTTATCTGCTGTGCTTGTTCCACAGGGTGTTGGTTAGGACTCCTGAATCAACTAGGACAGAGTTGGAGATCAATTGGGTTTTCAAATAGCTATGGTGCTCTGGGTTGTCCAGAATTCATAAGGAATAATGAGGTGTACACAAATCATCCCACTTTTTGCAACAGGTAAAAGATGATTTCAAATGGATAGAACAACACATGTCATTCCTGCCCCATCTGCTCCCTCACTCTTTGCATCCAATCTGTCACCAGGGAGCGATGCTTTCACCTTCTGATGCTTTTAACAATCTGCCCTGATGTCACTCCTTCCCCCCACCTCCCATCACACCTCTGTACCAATCTGCCATTGTCTCTGGATTGCTAAACTGCAGTGGATGCTTACTAGTCTTTCCACATCCTCTCTAGTTCCCTCAACTCAACAGAGAATACTCTACCATGCAAGGAGTCATTTAAAAAAAAAAATCTGGTCAAGTTCTTATCCTGTTTAAAATCCTTCTGAACATCTCATTGCTTTGGAAATAAAGGATAAAATCCCCAATATATCCTGTAGCACCCTGTGTAATTTGGAAAGGACCATTTCATCTGCAGGCACCTACCCTGGTTCCCTGGGTTCTAGCTAAACTTTTAGTTCCTAGACCTTAAGGAGGGTCTTCCTGCCTTGGGGTCTTTGGATAAGCATTCCCTCTGCCTAAAATATTCTTTTCACACCAATTTCAGCTCAGAGACAAGCCTTCTTCAAAGACCCTCTCTGGCCTCCTGGAAGGACCAGGGCCCTGTTATAAGCCCTCTTTGCACCGTGTCCTTTTTATACCATGGAACAAAATAATGTTAATCAGTTTGTAATGAAATAGCTATTCATACTCTCATTTAATTAATATGCATCAGTCTTTAAACTATCAGACCAAAACACTATCTACTTTGTGTTTTGCTCAAACGGTGAGTATTGAATTTCTAACACCTAGAACAGTGTTTAGCATTAATTATTTGTTTAATGAATGAATCAGTGAAATGTTTCTAGGAAAGGAAAAGGCAAAGAAGAGCTTGAGGGAATCTTTTCTAAGAGAGAAAAAGGAGATATGGCGATGTAAAATTAATACCCTCAAGCTGAACGGTGCACTTTAGAATCTAAATGCTCAGATGGCAGCCCCAAGACTAGCCAACTGAAACTGAGCAGATCTCAAAGACAGAATCTGCGAGTTCTCAACTCTGGGAGGGAAAAGAGGGAGAAGAGGAGTTGCACAGAAGATGGAAAGAGAACCTCATTGTTATACAGAATACATATATGATGTTGTAATGAGAAAAAGGAAAAAAAAAGAAAGCGTGTCACATTAGATTGGATAGAGAGAAAGGATGGGAGAGGAGGGGAGGAGTAGGGAGGATAGGAAGGGCAACAGAATAGACAACATGATTGATGTATGTACATTCCGTGTATGTATTATATATCTAAAAGCATTCTACTGTCATGTATGACTAAAAATAAATAAATAAAAATTAAAAAAAAAAAAACCACCAAGGCCAGAGCCTCAGCTCAGACATTCTGATTTACTGGGTTGTAGCATAAGAACAGGTCTTCTTTACCAGCCTCCCAAATTTCTAATATATAGTCTTGGTTAAAAATCACATATCTAACGGGAGGTAGGATTTGCCTGAGGTCAAACAACTATTTAATTTCAGATTTAGGACTAAAATCCAAACCACCTAGCTCACCGACTTTGAACTTTCCACTCACCTGGGAACCTAAAAGAACTAGTTCTATAGTGCTTGCTGCTCTGCCTAAGCCAGGTAAAAATTTGAGTGCAGGAGGAAAGTAATTCTAATTAATAGAGCTCTTGGGAGATGCTGGGGAAGCTGAACGATGACGCATCTTAGAGTCCTTAAGTTATACCCCAAATTGGATAGAAATGAACTAATCCCATCCTGACATGATTCAACTTTTGTAGAGTTTCATGAAAATTAAGAGCTTGTTTTTCTCAATTTCAAATGTCTTGAGATGGTGCTCTTGGGTGGCTGGCTGTCATAAAATCTAGAAGTTAAGGTACAAAGGATCTTAAAGTTCATAGAGCCCAATGTTTTCCTTAGACCCCAAAAGATCCACAGAGAAAATGCTAGAGTGACTGAGAGCCAAGGGCTTCTAGGCTTACTAATAAACTTGGCTATTAGAGTATTCATTTATCTAAGCTGAAGATCCATAAACTAGCTAATCAGTGACAGCTGCAATCATAAAGATTCTATACTGTCCACTTTAATATTTCTAAAACTTTCAAGTAACCAAAAAGTAGAAGAAAAGAAAAAAAAGAGAGAATTTCTTATTATTTAACAAAGTGCAAAATTTGCTTTCAGCAGCACTGGGAGAGCAGAATCTTTCAAGTCATAGTGATATGCTTGGGAGTCCCGGATCTAATCCAGATTGGCTTACCATTTGAGTAAGAGCAGTACAAACATTCCATCAACTCAGGGACAAGGCTAAGGGCTAACACCAAAGACTAGGGACCTTTGGCTGTTATTTCTTTCTAACCCCCCACAGCTGCATTCTTAACCCTCTTGCCCCTCTCCTGCACTGAGAAAGAACATTTAGAACTCAAAGAGACTTCCTTATAGATCAAGGTGGCTTTGACCCAGGGCAAAAATGCTAAGAAGATAGAAGGGAAAGAATAGGAGAGAAGAAGGATGGTAGGGGTACTTAGCCTTAAACATGCCTCTCCTAGTCCTGAGGCAAAGCCAGGGGACCTGATAAGTGTGATTTCACTATCTGGGAACATGTTCCTATCTAATTCGACCTGCCCCAAGAGAAGCAGACACACGGAAGAAGACACTGGTGGTTAATTGCTCAACATCTCCCAACTCCTAGAGCAGAACACTATCTACACTGAAAACTCATGAAGATTCCAAGAAATCGGAGACAAAGGAAGGCTGGGAAGGAGCACATCTGAAGAAATAGGGCCAGAAGCTAGAGGAAAGTCTAGGCACGCTCAATTTGTTTATGTTTATACATTCTCTTCATTCCTAGTCACTCCCCATTCTATCTGACTATCTCCTAAATGTCCTTATTGGCCTTATGGCTCTCCACACCAGAGACAATCTCCTTGCCTGGAGTGATGTTCATGGAACACAAACTCACAGGGGCTCTTGATACAGGAGTCTTTCTTTCTTTCTTTTTCTCTCTCTCTCTCTCTCTCTCTCTCTCTCTCTCTCTCTCTCTCTCTCTCCTGCCCCTTCCCCTGGGGGGAAAAACACAACTCCTATAAATGAATATTGAGGCATCTTAGAGTCAAGGTATTCTCAAAATTGGATACAGATAAACTAACTCCATCCTTACAGCTTTTGTGTAGTTTGAGCTACACATATAACTAGGGTAGCGAATGCTAGAAATTGAAGAGATGGAGTGCCTACTCAGTTTGGGGTCCTTTTCCCTCTTTTTCTCTGTGCATACTATTGTCTTTGGTCTAACCCAACTCAGAGTTTTTGCTTCTTGACTGTAAGAAGTTTATCTTCTCTTTCTCACCTAACCTACCCCTTTTCCTAGTCGTCCACGCTGAGCTCTTCCTATGGCTGGTCTACCCTCATAGACCATAGATCTCCAGTCACCCAGCTCTTACTTATCTTGCAAAATTCTTCTTCCATTTCTGGTTCCTTTATTCCTACATGCCTGACCTATTTCTGCTTGTTTTAGCTCACCAGGACAAAAATTTTAGTAATCCATGGATCAATCCCAAATGTAGTTGTACTAGGTTGAATTTTACGTGTTTAAAAGTACTATTTTGAATTTACTCCCTCTATTACACCCAAAAGACAGTTTGTTTTCCCCAGCTACAGAGTTTTGTGTCTACACACCTCTAATCAGCCCTTCTCATCCTCCCAGTTCTCAAGAACATTATGGAAGGCAGGCCTGTGACCTCAAAGTCCATTTACTGCAATCTGCTGCCCAATCCAAGCATGTCAGAAATTAGGAAGAGGCAGATCCACAAGGTCCTCAACTAGAAATCAGACAGCTGACCCATTATTGCCAATGAGCTGATATTGATAGTGTCCAGAAGAGAAAGCAGGCCAGAAGTGCTGACCCTACCAGAACAGAAAATAACACACATGTGACTTGGAGTACAATCTTCCTTCTTTAGAAGAGGTTTCCTTGAATATCCCACTACCAAAAAGCTGGTCCTCTTTGTAAAGTGCAAAAAGTTTCATAAATGCGTGAGGTTACTAATATGAAGGGCTCTCTCAATGTTGTTGCAAAAGAATCCATAAATCCCTAGGCAATTACTCTTTCGCTCATTAAATTCCATGATTCCTTTATCTTATGCCTAATTCCTACCATGGTGATTTGCAGCCTGCAACTTCTAGAACCCAAGGGTGGTATCTTTCCTGGATAGCATCAGTCTTGTCTCCAGCATCATTACCCCATGTTACTATTCCCTTCTATCTCTTCCAATAAAATCACCTGTAGTAGTTTCTGTTGGAAGATGATGTTATCTCGAGGATTTGTGCGGTTGCCAACACGGAACTTGAGGGGGCGGTAGACACAACATGTGGTGAAGCACATCATATAGAGAATGTACAAGGCACCCAGGATACAGAAGTATGGCTGCCCATATTTCTTCCACTTGAAGCTCACCAGCTCCTTCACTGGGGTCTGTTCCAAGATCTGGCGAGCCTGCCATGGAAGGAAAGTAGCTTGGGGTGACCAACATTTTGAGGTTATTGAGTTCCCACTGGGTCCCAGAAGTGAAGGACAGTAACCATCATTATCATCATTCATTTAGTTAGTCATTTCCTTGAAGGATTACTAGTCCATTTCTACTGTATGCTAGGTTTGTGCTAATACTATAGATATACTATTAAGAAGCAAAAACAAGGCACCATAGCACCACTGTAGCTTTAACAGATGAAGAGTAGTTTACTGAATGAAGGAGAGTTAGGAAAGATCATTCCATGAAGTGGCAGCAGGCACCAGGGCAGGAGGGGGTGAGAAGGCATTATCCATTTGCAGGTGAGGTGCGGTTGGGAATATGGGAGAACCTGTTGGGACTGGTGGACAAAAGACATAATGCGCAAGGTAAATATGAGCCATGTTATTGTGTATTGTGTGTGAAGTCTGAATACAATGGAAAGCAAGTGGAAAGTCTAAGCAAGGATATAGTCCAGTTTGCTCTGGAAGTACTGTTAGACTCAAGAAAAGCAGTAAGCAGGCTGTAGAATGTGCCAGAAATCTAAGTGTGATGGGACTGTGCTCTAGAGAGGGTGAAGGACGGGATGAAGCATGTCAGAAATTAGGAAGAGGCAGATCCAAGGCAAAGCTGAAGCGATTAACCATTAGCATAAAAAAAAAACTTTTTATACCACTGAAGCTGAAGGGAAAGAGAGAGACAGAGTGCTTGGCAGTTCAGAGCAGAAAGTTTAAGGATCCCCACCCAGAGTGGCTAAGGTTTGTCACAGGTAGGGGTCTTCTTTGCTGGAACTAAGGGTGAAGGTAGCAAGAATATGAAAAGGGAATAGCTGGGAGGGGTTAGGGAAGGGGAAGGTATCAGACCCACAAGAGTCTGTTGAGAACTAGCTGATATCAAAAACTAAACAAGCATGGTGGCAAAGTCCACACAGAGGGACCAGACATCTAATTCCTAAGAAAACCTGCTCAAAGCTTATCCGTTTCCAGGATGATTCCTTGAGGAGGGCCACAAAAACTGACCACTCAGCCTTCCTCCCCTCATTCATGTTTCCATCATCCATCACAACTGTCCATGTTTCGTGACTCTACAAAGGCTCCTAGGAAATTGTCACGTAGCAGATAAACAACGGAAACTATAGCTGGCCAGTATCTTGGAGGTTCCTGAATGCCAGCAGCATTTTCTTCTTCCTTGTATAGACTTCCACAAATTTTCCTTTCCTTCGTGTTATTCAATCTTGGACTGTCTCAATGATCTATGCCTTGTTCCCTCTCTGGAAAGCTCTCTTTTGACTCATCTTCCTGATGACTCCCAACTCCCCGTTGAAGACCTAGGAGGAGCACTTCCTCTGTGACACCCTCTTTGGCCCTCCAAACCAAGTCGACTACACCTCCATGTTGCTGCCCCAGTTCATAGCTCACCACCCTACAATGGTACATCTTGTGCTCTACTGCAGTTGTTGAGGATAGGGATCAGAATTGAGGAATTTGGCCGACAGGAAACGTGTTTTCTCTCTTTCTGTATTCTCAGTTCCTGGGTAGTGTCTGGAACCCAGCAGGTGCTCATTATGCTGAAGGAAAAAAGGAAGAAAGCAAAGGAGGGAGGGAAGGAAGAGTTTCCTTCTGGAGAATTCCTCATGGTAGAGTGGAACAGGTAAGCTGAAGGAACTAGAGCCAAGCAGAGGGAAAACGACCTCAGGAGATTAGTGTTGGCTGGTCATTCCCCCAGGTCTCAGGAAACTGTTCTCCTCTTGACCTGTTGTAAGTCCCCTGGAGCCCGGGATCCCAGAAAATGGGCAGGTACCGTGTGGACACAGCGCTCTCTGACGCTTCTTGAGTCCATACCTCCCGCTTCTTGGAGGAGACCACAAGTTCTAGAAAGGACAGCTCCTCTCCCCAGGAGTCGATCTCTGTGAGGTCGTAGAGAGTGGAGGTCAGGGGTCCATATGTCCATTGGATGTGCTTCCGCCTCTGCATCAGGTGCTGGAACATCTGAAAGATACAGGGACGAACAGGAGAGTCAAAGAGTGAGAAGCTGGTATGAGACAAAACGCCTGTGGACCAGGCCAGTTGCTCACTCTCCACAGATAGTGCAGAATTGGCCATCTTCTGTTTACACGAATCTTCCTCCTTCCTTCCTTCCTTCCTTCCTTCCTTCCTCCTTTCCTTCCTTCCTTCCTTCCTTCCTCCCTTCCTCCCTTCCTTCCTCCCTTCCTTCCTCCCTTCCTTCCTTCCTTCCTCTCTCCCCACTCCCTCCATTCCCCCCACCCCTTTCTTTCTTTCCCATAAAGCTCTGTAGGAGGAAATGAGATGAAGGGAGTAGGATTTGAGAATACAATGGAAAATATTTTAAGATGAAAGTCTCAAATGCCACTAGGAGGGGAACCTGAGGTTGAACAATTTGGTGATGAGGTAGAAAGTAGGGGACTACCTCCTTTGGGAGGAGCTTGGAGAGAAGGGTCATAAGAGAGGCACCTTAGGGCTAGGGACCCTCTCACCACAGTGTTGCCCTCTACTCCAGCCAGCTTGAAGGGGGTGAGGCCCTGGTGATTGGGCACGAGCTCCAGGGGCTGCAGGTGGTCCCCTCCATCATAGGACAGCAGCAGGTTATACATCTGGCAGGCAAAGGTTTTGTTGGGCTGCAGGATGAGGATGTGCAGCACTGTGTTTCCTGGGGAGGACACGGGCTGGCATGTGGACACAGGTCTAAAGGACCCCGTGGTCCCCCCCCGGGTCCTCCCTCACACCCCCAGCCACATCCCAGCACCCCCTCCCATCTCAGCTCTTACCCAGAGAGTCCTGGGCCCGAATGTCAGCTCCATGCTCAATGAGCAGCCGCACAATCTCCTCGCTGCCCACGCAGGCAGCAAAGGACAAAGGGTGCTCCCCTGGGGACACAGAGAGATCCATGGCAGGAGACCACAGGGTCACGAGCTGAGAGGGGGCAGTTTCTCCCAGGTGACTGCCTGCTTGCTCCTCACACATCTCAGCTCAGGGCATGGGGCACTTGTCCAGAAGAACCAGAGGAAGGACACTGAAGAGGGTCCTGGGAATTGGCCTGTGGCCTTAAGTCCTGTAAGGGCTGCCCTTCTGCTTCCCCACAGATGGAGCTGAGGGCAAGGCCCTGCTTAGTCCAGCTCCTTGTCCTCGACCTGGCTCTCCACCTCCCCTTCCTCCCAGCCTGGCCCTGCCCTCACCATAGTAGATGAGGTTGTGGGGACTGCGTTGGAAGGCGGTGCCTGTGGCTCTGGCAGAGACGCTGGCTCCATGGGAAAGCAGGGCGCGCACCAGGTTCACGTTCTGGTTCATGACAGCGATGTGCAGGGCAGTCTGACCTGGCCCAGAGAGAACCATCAGTCACAAGTCCATCTCCCTCAGGTCTCTCAGGGACACAACACCCAGCAGAATCCCCAGCAAGAGTCCCTGCCAGGTCCTCATGTAGACTACTACCATGGCTGCACAGAGTGGCTAGTTACTTCCTCGGGCTGCCCAACTCATTGTCCCTACCCCTCCACTACTGGAGGCAGGTGAGGAGGACTTGATGTAAATAAAATCACTGTGGCTGCTATGCAAGGGGCAGAGAGAGATGTTGTCAGGGATGCTGACAGGATTGAGATGCAAAACAGCTAAAGGGATCCATGGATACTCAAAGCAAAGGCTGGGATTTGGGTATTTCTCCCAATTCATGGGTGTCATGCTTCCTGGCCCTCTAGTACTTCCCCAAGCCCACCCTTCAGAAGCGCATTTCAAAAGGAAACAGCCAACCATCCCATGCCTGTCTCCACCTGGAGTTACCACGCAGCCTCCTCACCTATAAAAGGCTCACACACGGTGGGCTCCTGGACCAGGTCTGGGGCGGCCTCCATCAGCACCATGGCGGCCTCCAGGTTGTCATAGAGGGCTGCTACGTGCAGTGCCGTCTCCCCCAGGGCTCCTGGAGTGGAATGAGACAAGAACGTCAATTCCAGCCAGAAGCCCTCCAGGAAGGAGCTCCTGGCTCCAGGAATACCTCCAAAGTGCCCACATGCTGAGCAGGGAGAGGGGCCTTCTGCCTACCTCTATCCCATTAAACTCTGATCTCACCTCTTTGTCGAAAGTCACAATTTTGTTCCAACAGAAGTTTCTTAAGTGTACACAGGTCATTTTCCTTGGCTGCCTGAAGCAGTGGAGACTCCCATATCCTGGAGGAGGGTGAACTGGAGTCAGGTAGAAACCATCACAGAGATGCCAGGAGCAGGGGCAACCAGAGACATCCTCTGTCTAACATGCACACATCTCCACTTGGCCACCCTTGCATCATCTGCAAGGACTGAAGGAACTAAGGGGACATTAAGGCAAAGTGTGGTCTAAGGGTTTCCCTGGTTCTGGTGCCATCCCTGTCATGAAGATTCCTTGAATACAGGTTTGTGGCTCAGCTGGGGAGGGAGGCTAACAGAAGGGTGCAGTTGCTGAAGGAGGAAGCCTGAGGTCTGGCTGTGACATCCCTGCAAAGAGTTCTCGGGACCCTGCTGACTCATCAAAATTGCGTAGATGTTTCCGGAAATCAGCAGGTGGAGGGAAGGTGCGTTTCTGTGGGGTCCCCCAGGATTTCATGCCTACTGAACCTGCCCTCTGTAGCCAGGGGAGTTTAAAACGGTGAAGGAGGACAAGACCAACTGTTAGGGCTTAGGCAATCTGTGGAAATCATGAGCTTCTAAAGCTCTGGATACTCCTTTGGGCTGTTTAGATACAATGTCTACTGTGGATGGAGAATTTGGGGTAGGTTATGGGCCAGGTATTCCTCCTCCTGGACTCAAAGCAAGTTGTTCATGCCTGAGGAGGAATGAGCAGCGGGCTTCTCAGCTCAGAAATCAGGATGAGACAGCCATCGACACGCCCTCCAAGAGTTCATTATTGTTCCTGCCCTTGTCTGCTTCTAAAGCCAAAAGAGATAAAGCTGGAGCCCGGCCTGCTAGACAAGGTAGCCTTGGCTCCAAAGGCAAACACAGAGTCAGGCAGGATGAGGGTCATCGGGCAGAGCAGAGGAGCTGTTTACCTCATGGCCCGGACTCACGGATTCCTTTCTTCCCAGGGCTCCCGGAGCCAGGGGGAAGAAGTGTTCTGGTTAAAGAAGGAGTTCTCTATCCCAGGGAATACCACTGGGAGAGACTTGCAGAGCGAAGGGTCAGCACCTGCCTCTTTCACCCAGGCCCTCAGTCCCAGTGAACTGTGTATCTCTGACCTGTCCAGAGTGGCCAGGGCTAGATTCCGGAGTTCACTCCCTGTCCTAAGGCCACTGTACAAAGCTCTTGTCCCTCCTGACCCTTGGCCCGCTGCTACTCTGCAGAGGGGAGGTCCTGTGACCAGGTCCCTGGGAGACCACTTCAGTCCCACTCTGATGCAGGGGGAGGGGAGATCAAAGGCTCCAGCATAGGGCGTGGTGGGGGATTGGGGCTGAGTCAGCAGAAGGCCCTGTCAATAGGAGGGTTCAATGTGAAACGCAAATTCAGGACTTCCTCTTCAAAATGATGAACAGTCTCAAGACAGGGACAGCAGGACACTTAACCAAAAACAAGACTCTCCTGACACCCAGAGCAGCCTGCTTCAGAGATGGCTGTCTGCTTGCTCCACCCCTCAGCTCTAGAGTGGGAAGGCCCCACTCCCTCCCCCGCAGGCTGGCCTGCAGGGTGCATCCCTGCCCCCACCCAGGCTGCTTTTCCCGACTCTGGACCTCAGGGAAAAACCATGGGATGGTCTGCACTAGGTAGACCAGCCCTTTCCTGAACGAAAGGTCCCAGGAACGGCACAAGCCCCATTCATTCTCCATGTAGTGGGCACCTGGTGCACCCCCAACACAGTACACACAATAAAAGGCAGAATTGAAGGCAGGATTCTGCCATGTCACCCTGGTTGTCCTCTTCAGCTGGTCACATCCAAGTGTCACACAAAACTAATCTCTCCTCCCTCTTTTCCAGACAACCGACTTTAATTCCAACTGTAACTTCATGTTCTGTCTTCCACCAAGTTTTCTCAACAAAAGACCGGTAGGTAACATCTGATCCCATCTCCAGCAACCTGCTCCCAACAACCTGATTTTGTCTGTCCTCCCCATTCTATATGCTTGGCTTCTTCAATCTAGTCGCATTTAGTCCTCCTTCCAGGAGGCAAGCAGGTTCCTGCCTGGGCTGTCAATCTGCCCCTGCCTTTATATTGACAAAGTCTCCTTAGGTGGCCCAATGCTACATTCTGCACTACTACCAAGAGGGTCCCGCTGGGGTGCTTTAGTGGGTGGGCTGGAGGGAAGAATATATCCAGGAAGCTGATGCTGAATTCTAGGGTGCAATATCAGAAAAACAGTCCTGTGGGTCGGAGGGTTTGAGAATTGGTGCATTTCACACCAACTCCTTAGGAGCCTACCTCTTCTGCTGCAACATGTAGACCTGGTCCAGGTGCTGGTCCCAGTCTTGCTCTCCAACCAGCCAGGAGGCCAGAAATTTCTGGAGTTGAATCCAAGGCCCTTTTGCCCCCATGTCTTCTTGCAGGCACTGGCAGGGTATGAGACTCTGGTGAGAGGAACAAGCTAGGATGGCAGCAGCAACTCAGGAAGCAGGGTCTGCTTAGGACCCTGAGTGAGTATATTCTCTGTGTGACTGGTGTGTGCAGGTGTGGTTGTGGTGTGTGTGTGTGTGTGTGTCTGTGTGTGTGTGTGTGTGTGTGTGTGTGTGTGTGTGTGCACGTGCACTGAGGGACTAGCCAACCTGCCTAGGGAGAGGAGGCTTTCCCTGGAAGGGGCGGAGCTCTTTCCAGAGCTGAGCCTGGGGGCACAGAGCTGCCCTAGAGCAGGGATAGGGGAAGGGGAGGGAACTTCTTGGGTCCTGGTAGTCAGCTGGGTCAGCTGAGACCTGGAGAGGCTGAGGAATGGGGCAGATAAGTTTGGAGAGGAAGCAAGGGCAGTGCCTGGAAGGTGGGTTCCCTGAACAAGGTGTGCAGGCTGTGGGTTGCAAGATGTGGGAACTAAAGGCCTCCAGCTCAGGAATCTGGCAGATCCCGGTTTAAGTCCTGCCTCTTACCACTTACAGTCAGGTGCGCATTCTTCACCAGGATCTTCTGAATTTTTAAAGTAGGGGAAGCAATTATACCGTAACAAGAAAGTGTATGTAAGGTACCATGTGTCACAAGACCTCACCAGCTTATTCTCCCCCAAAGAACCCGGGGATGGCTTCTCCTCAAAAGCCTGTGGCTCGTGTCTGGACCTCAAAAGAGGGTGTCTGACTCTCCCCTTTCCAGGCCACCCCTGCCTGTGGTGACTCCTCCTCCCCTGCCATTTTCCTGAGCCCAGCCTGAGCAAGACTCTCAGGTTCAAATCCCAGGAAACCCGCAGGGGTCTGTGCTCCAAGGGGAGTTGAACAGCAGGAGCCTAGTAAAGCGTAGGACAGGGAAATCTTAAGACTCATTCCAGGAACAAGGCTGCAGGAAGAATGGACACGGATAAGTCGAGGTTATATTACTTTATTGTGTGACAGCTTGTGCCTATTGTTCTGATTGTTCTCAAAAAGGCATATCAATGTCATTGAGTTGCAGTCATTCTGTGAGGTCAAGGGGAATAGGGCACAAGTTCTCTGTTTTCTGAATGAAAGACAGAGCACAGAGAAGAAGTAAGGTTCCCCCAAACCCCAGGGCTGGAGGCAAGACTGGACCTGGCTCTGAATTGGGGATTTTGGCTCCCAGTGAGTTGTCTCCAGATCTTGTTGCTTCTTGGGAGTCTTTTGTCCATAAAGATGTGAGAGACTTGGGTGGGGTATGTTGGGAGCCTCCTCTTGGGGATCCTCTGGAACCAAGAACTGCCTTCCTCGTTTACTGTGCTCCAGAGAGTAAGGGATGGATAAAATAACCACTAGAGAAGGACAAGAATTGAAAGGAAAATCAAGCAAGAAAGGAAGAGGAGGTGTCCCCGACCGGGAGGTGTTCTCACCCAGGGAGTGGGGAGGGGTCACCTTGTGGGACATTTTCCTGCCTTCCCGAGGGTTGGGGCAGTGTGGGTGGTAATGATCACTGAAGCCTGGGGACTTCCAGTCTAAGGAGATGGAGGGAGCGATAAGGTTGAAGTGGGGGTTGTAGATGCGCTGATAAGCAGGGGGGGCAGGCCAGGAAGGGAGCACTTGCCAAGGAAACACTCAACCCATAAAGCCACCCCTGCAGGGGGTGGGGGAGGGAGGAGCTGGTAGTGGAGGAGGCTGGCCTGGTCAGAGCTGCACGGAGCAGGTACCGGGGCTACCACTAAGGGCATCAGCTGTAAGTCTGGGAAGGAGGAAAGAGGGCCCCATGTTCAAGTCCCCACCCCTGGGTCTTCAGTGTCTCTCCTGTCCCCTGCTGCTGCCTACACTGTTGTCTTTAATGGGAAGAGCATGAACAAGTACTCTGGATGGAGACCATACTGTCTGCCTGTCCCAGCTGGTAGAGGGGAGATTGGACTCTCTTTTGATCTCCTTCTTGTCTTCCGCCACTCCTCATCTTGGCAATAGTCTGCATTGCCATTCTGTCTTCCTCTGTCCTGCCCCAGCTTTCTGTGGACAAGCACACCCCCAATTCAGATAGCGGCTTCCCCAGCCAGAACACCTCAGAGTCTAATGCCGCCAGGTGCCTGGGAGAGGAGCTGGGCTGGGGCGCTTCGCCCCATCAACACATCCCAGAGTGCTCTTAGAGAAAAGCAGCAGGACTTCGCAGACTGACATGCTGAGAAGGAGGAGAAAACATACCTGGGTTTCAAGTTTTAGGAAATGCCCTGTCACCCCAGCTGCCCACAGGCAAGCAGGAAACAGATCTGAGTTCTACTACATTTTAAAAACATTCAGAGTGAATATCATTCAATGATGGAATGATTAGCCTGTGTGTGTGTGTGTGTGTGTGTGTGTGTGTACTTTTCTATACAAAAAAAAATTTTTTTAAATGGATTGTTGGCTTCCTGCAAGGATTTATTTACCTCTTGACACCAGGAGTCAGGCAGGTGGAAGTAATGGTGGTCGGTATAAACTGGTTCTTTCCACTCCAGCTTGCCCCTCCCGCAGCTGCCCTCCCCATTCATATCTACAGAGCTGGAGATGGCTTCTCTTTGTGCCAGGGAATCAACAGGCTCCTCCCCCAAAATAGCCAGGAGGAGATTAGTGATTTTCTTTTTTCCGTTCAAGCATTAGTTTTGTGGCTCTGCAGTTCAATGGGTACAAGGAAGGGGTGAGCCGGGTCACTCTCAATCTGACTCTTTCCTCCTTCATCATCAAGTGCCCTTCCAGACCGCTCTCTGGTTCACTGTCATCTGGTTTGGGTCACCAGGAATTATGTCAGAGGTGGTATCTGCTGCACAAGGAGCAGCCTCCACAGGAACACATCTGCTAGCCCGGGCAAATCTTGTCACACTTCCCAGGTCTGCAGGTCGCTCTTGAACAAGGGGCACATGTTTTTGCATGTGTCCTTGCACCAGCGGGTGCACACTTCATTCGGGCATGGTCTGCGTGGGCAGCGCTAGTGGCTGTGATAGCTCCTCCCTCGTCCTAGGCACCCAACCTGCCTCTCATGGTTTGGCATCGGCTTTTGGTTTTCCAGGAAAGTCCTTCATCCTGTCTCTCCAACCCACAACCATCCAGGGGGCCAACATGTCTGTGCTCACCAGGTTCATGGGCAGGATGAAAGTGAGCTGCAGAGACACCTGCCCCACTACATTTCCTCTGCAGAGTAACTCCTTCTGTCAAGGGAAGGGCTTGGAGATGAGCCTGGAAACACTTTTTCTCTGTGTCTTAAAGTGTAAAAGAAGAGAAGAGACTCCCAGGTGCCATGGTGCACACCTATAATTCCAGCTACATGAGAGGCTGAGGCAGGAGGATCGTAAGTCTGAGGTCTGCCTGGGCCCCTTAGTGAGACCTTTGGTGGTTGGGTGGTCGGTTTATTTTTATTTTTGGCTCACAGTTTCAGAGTTTCAGTCCTGCGTCAGCTGGCTCCAAGGCAGAAATGTCATGGCAGTGGCATCCCCCAGACAGCTGCTCAGTTCATGGCAGATGGGAAGAAGAGAGGGTGGTGGGGGCAGGGACAAGAAATTGTCCCCAAGAGCACACCTCCAGTGGTCTGCTTCCTCCAACTGGGTCCCACTTCCTACAATTTCTATCCCCTTCCAATGGTCTATTCAAAATATTAATCCACCAAATGGATTAATCCACTGGTGAGGTTAGAGCCTTCAGATCCAATCTTTTTTTTCTTTTCAAAGAGAGAGAGAGAGAGAGAGAGAAGTTTTTTAATATTTATTTTTTAGTATGGGTGGACACAACATCTTTGTTGGTATGTGGTGCTGAGGATCGAACCCAGGCCGCACGCATGCCAGGCGAGCGCGCTACCGCTTGAGCCACATCCCCAGCCCCAAGATCCAATCATTTTTAAAAGCCCTACCTCTGAACCCTCTTGCACTGGGGACCAAGCCTTCAACACATGAGCTTTTGGGGGCCACTCCACATCCACACCACAACACCCTATCTGAAAAGGTGGAGTGCTGGGGATGTAGCTCAGTGGTGAACCACTTGCCTAGCAAGGTAAGACCCTGGGTTCAATCATACTTGGTACAGAGAGAGAGAGAGAGACAGAGAGAGAGAGAGAAAGAGAGAAGGTTTTTAGCTTCAAGTGCTACAAGAGGATAAAGTCTAGGAAAGGAAAAAAAATAGAGGAGAAGGAAGAGGAGATAATGGCTTCTACTCAGGGACAGGAGACTGTTCTGTTTCTATATCTGTGCATTCTATGTGTCTCTGTCTCTGTGTCTGTCTGTTGCTCATGCACAGGTTTAGAGCATGAGAATTTTCCCTCTCTCCATCTGCCCCACTCTATTTCACTTTGAACAGACTAGGCTTTTATGCACAGCATGAAGCATGTTCCCAGGATTTGGTGATCTTTGTTGCTTGTTGCTACGTCTGGTCTGGCCCTTATCTATTCAAGACACTCTCTTTAAAGAAATGCTACACGGACAGCAGAGAAATGTCATGTTCACATTCAAAAGCTGTAATTGAGAGTCCTGCTCTGCCCATTCATTGGTAACTCCATGATCTCGAGAAAGAGCTCATTTCTTCTGTGAACCTTGGTTTCCTCATCTATATAATGGGTATGAGAATACTAGTACTTTGGAGTGCCAGTGCCTGTGTGTTCGGAACCAATAACATAGTGGATTTGAAAGTACTTTGCAAGCTGGCTCACAGTGGCTCACGCCTGTAATCCTAGCATCTCAGGAACATGAGGCAGGAGGATTGCAAGTTCAAAACCAGATTCAGCAATTTAGTAAGGCCCTAAGTAACTTAGCAAGACCCTGTCTCCAAATAAAATAAGTAAATAAATACAAAGAACTGGGGATGTGTCTCAGTGGTTGAGCACCCATGGGTACAAAATAAAAAAGAAAGTACTTTGCAAGCTCTTAAGTCCTTTTTATTGCCATCTCTACAGGATGACCCACTACAGCCATTATAAAGGCCTCTGCCATCCCCGGCTGGCTACCCTCCTCCTCCCTCCTGGCAATGGAATGCACTAGTGAGCTGGAATGAGCATGGGATCCATGGCTGTGATGTCATAGAGCACATGAAGTCAGAGGTCCTATGGAAGAGAAGAGAGGAAATCGATGCAGGGAAAGGGTAAGGACTGGGACAGGGACGGGGGAGGCAGGTGGGGGAAGCCTGCTGGGCACTAGGGAGCTGGTGGGCCAGAAGCTGTGGGTGGGCAGGCCCATGACATCTCTGGGCTCCCAGCTCTGCTGGGTAGCATTCCTGACAGCCCTCCTACTGCTGCTGCGGGTGAAGGGGATGAAGTCTCAGAAGGGCAGCCCAGACATGGATGAGGGGAAGCAGAAAGAGAAAATGGCTTCTGCAGGTAGGTGGAGAAGAGAGAGACAAGGTCTGGAGGTAAGGGCTGGGTCTGATTGAGGCCAGGCCTCAGGTAGCTGTTCAGATGAGGGTGCATCTGAGATGGGTTTGGATTCTGGGAGACGGCTCCGTTTCCCTATCAGGGTAGAATGTCCTGTCTGGAGCAGGGGGGGTTCCCAGCCAGGGCCGACCTGGGCCAGCTGCAATTGCATGCAGCTTCTGCATGGGTGAGCATGAGTGTCCTGGAGGAGAACCTGGGTTTTCCTCATATTGAAGGATGTCCTTCATTCCCTCAGGATGGTACCACTTTAGAGGAGACAGCTAGCCTTAGAGGTGGGGTTGGGGTATGTGGGATTTGAACCCAGATCAGAAAAGACATCTAGATGGGGAGCACCTCTCTCGTCAAGGCCAAAGAGGTGGCAATTGTGCCAAATCCCCTTGGTCCCCACTTTTCTCTCTCAGCCAGGTCAAGGTGGGGGCAGGTCAGGATCAGGGCCGCCCATGCCTCCCGCTCTTCCCTGTTCCAGACCAGAACCAAGAGCAGTTTGAAGAACATTTTCTGGCTTCCTCGGTGGGTGAGCTGTGGCAGGTGATGGACATGGCCCAGCAAGAGGAGAACACGACATCGAAGGCAGCAGCTGTCCGAGACCACCTTTTTGATCTAGCCTTCTGCTTTAACATGGCCAGCATCATGTTTTTTTTATAAGAGACATTGAGGCTGAGGTGGTGGCCTGGTTCCTGAATGAAAACCTGAACGTCTGCCTGCGCTTCATAATTGCTCACTGACCTCTTCCCCCCAGTGGGCTTCAGGTCACTACACCACTCCCCACCTCTTATCATTGGTACCTAGACTCGATGCGGCAACAGAGACTGCGGTTGCCACCCCACGCCCAGAGTTTCATCTCCCACCGCCAGAGACATCACACCAGACCTACACCCTTCTCCCTCTCACACCTCTCCTGGCTTTGTCCAAAACAGAAGATTAGAGGGAGGAGGCAGTGACAATAAAATAGCAATAAAATCCTGAAAACCATTGGGAGCAGCTTTCTGAGCCCTCACCAAGCCCTTGGGGCTCTAAATGGTCTGTGGAATTGCCAGCCCTTTGGCCCACAGACTGACTGACCTTCAGACCCACCATCTCTCCAGCTCTTTCCTTTTCTACCTACCGTCCTTGGCACGTTTCCCTCTTATCTTTTCTGACTTCTAGGAATAGAGCATAGCAGGAAAGAGTCACTGGGAGACAGGTGGGGACCAAGGGCCGCCTTTTATTTGGAGAATAGAAGGGAAAAGAGATGGTGCCCAACTGCCTGGATGGGCCCGGGGCTGCTGATCCACCTGCGTTGCTGTGTCTGTGGGTCCATGTTACCAGAGCTGGCAGCGGCTGGAGGGGTTCATGAGGGCATCACGCGGACACCGAAAATGTCTGGCAAAGGCTGGGGTGTTGCTGAGAGGTCCGTGGACCCGAAGTCTGGGAGGGCTGTGAGTGTCCTGGGAGTGCTCAGTGCTGGGTTCCCTACACAGGACCTGAGGAAGGGTAAGGAGCAGAGGTCTTGACTTTTTCTTTCTAGAACTAGGAGCTGAACCCAGGGGTGCTGTGCCACGTAGCTACATCCCCAACCCTTTCCATCTTGTCAGTTTTGAGACAGAGTCTTGCTAAATTTCTGAAGTTGGTCTCAAAAATTGCAGTCCTCCTGCCTCAGCCGCTCATGTCACCAGTGTTACCATGTGCCTGACCAGATAAAGTTCTTATAGGTTTATTAGAACAAGGCTGGGGCTAAGGGTCACCAGGAGGAGCAGACAAAGAGCAGAGCAGGATTCAAATGCTCAAGGGCCTAGTAGAGTTCATGTCATTTGTAAGTCATTTCATCTGGCACTAGGAGAGCAGAGGAGGGCCCAAGTTACGCAATGACACCATTGGTGAGGACCCCTATTAGGCCGAGTCTAATAATGAGACAGCTCCGCGAGGGAGCTGGGGACTGTGCCTCTTGGGGAAGCACAGGTGATAAAAGGGGTCATGTCAAACTGGGACCACTCCTGGGGGTGAAGTCTCTGAGGAGGAATGTTACATAGAGTCAGCTTCTGGTGGGGTCATTTTAAAGGGTCCGTATTTCTGGCCTATGAGATAAGAAAATGTTGGACTCAACTCATGGAGGGACCTAGAAGGAGAAATTTTTTCTTCTTTTTGAGGAGGGGGGAGGGTTGCTGATTTGGTAGAAGAATTTTTTAGTGATCTGGAGGGTGAGGGCAAGGGGACAAGTGAGAAAGGTTGACAGCAGGGACATCCATGGCAGTGAGTCAGGGGTATTTGAAGAGGGTGTGTCATAGAGAAAATGCCTTTGCGTATTAGTAATAGGGTGCTTATCGGATCTGAAGCAAGCTGAGGAAGGCAGGGCAGCTGCTTACCTGGGCATAGCTTCTGAAGAAGAGCTGGTGGGGGCTGAGGTCCCAGTTGGGCAGCTTGGTCTCCCCACGGTACTCGAGGAGGCTCCTGCTGTATGCCTGGATTGGGGGGATAGGATGAAGAGTTGGCTTTAGGCTTGAGACCATCTGGAAGCTCGATGCCGTTCGAGCAGTACCTCAAACAAACCCCTGGGCCTTTGTTCCCTGTTCTGAGCTAACACATTGGTCTGAGCCAAAAGAAAGAATATTTTCCGGAAGACTGATAGATTTCTTAGAAAGTGGGAGGGGGGAATCTACAGGGAGTGAGGTGTGTCCCCAAGCTGCCAACTGATACGTGGAGATATAAAGGGCAGAAAATTATGTAAGTATATTTGCATGAGAGAAGGTGGAAGGAAAACTCGAGGACAGTGCCTTTAGTTCTGCTGGTGAAAACAGATCATGACCGTTGGCCCACCTGGAACGCAATGGCCAGCCCCCCCACATCTGCGGCATTCTCTAGGAGCGTGCTGGAGCCATTGAAGGAGGTTCCACCGGGCAATGGGAAGGCAGCGTAATGGCGCTCCAAACACAGGAGTGCCTCCTGCAGGGCCCGGGTGTCACAGTCCTGGCAGTCCCCAGGGTGCACTGTTGAAAACAGAGCAAGGAAATGAAACGGCAAGGGACGTGGGTTGTGCCACGGAAGGTTCTGGCTCCCAGAAACACGGCAGGTTTCTAGGACTGTCCCTCCTGGAGCCCTTGAATAATCCTCCTTTCCCCTGTAGGACTTCTTTGAGGTCTTCCCTTGGGTTCCCTGTGGTCCCACATCCCAGTGGCCCCTGTTACCCACACAGCTGGTAGAAGATGTGCAACAGCTCACGGGCCATGATGCTGCCAGCAGCGCCAAAGTTCACGGCTCTAGGGATACAAGAGCCTGTCTCACCCCCAGAATCCTTCAACATTTTTTACCCCAACTCTCCAGCCACGGATCTCATCCATCATAACAACTGTTCATCTCTCCTGGGAAACTCCCAGGCCACCCTCCCAGAATGGCCCTTACCTAGGGTAGTCAGGGTGGAAGAATGGAGGTTGCAGGAGTCCCGCTGGGAAGACCACCTCATGGTCAGGTATGGAATAGGAAGCAGTGACCCCCCAGGGGGACACCTGCCATCTGTGGGGAAAGCACATATGAACACAGCTCCATCATTAACTGCCCCAAGGCACCTACAATTCCTCCAACGAATACCACTGTCCCCACGGCCACCTCCAAGTCTCCAGATTCCTTTCCTACTAATTACAAATGGGGTATCTCAGGGATGGCGTGTCCCTGTCTCCTCTGACCCCATACCTGTGGTAAGGGAGAGGCTGCAAGAAGCTCAAGACCTTTCTAGCTTGGAGAGATCGGACACAGCTCAGAAAAGACTGCAGGAAGTTGGGTCCAAGTTGTATCTAGAGAGGAGGCAAGAGGTGACTTGGGCACACAGAGACAAGCACTGACGGACATCTATGTATGCCAAGGAGCACATTAAACCCCAACACACATAACACCCTCATACACACACATCCATGAGTTGGTGGAGACCACTCCTGCTGTGGGTGCAGACACACTCCACGTGCATCAGCACACAGACAAACATACACAGGAAGTCACAGGAGACACAGGTGTGTGCACTCAAGCATCACAGCCTGAATAGTTTCTGTTTTTCTGCTGGCAAGACCCAGCCAGCACCAGGGCAAGGAAGTGGGTGGGTAAGAATTGCTCAGGGAAAATGGATGCTGTGGATAAGACTTGGCTAGGTCAGGGAGGAGAGCTGCAAAAGGCAGGGACCCACATTGCTGTATTCTTGTCTGGCCAGCTCCGGCTTCAGGGTCCATTCAGGGGCTCCCATCTGCACGTGCAGCTGAGTGATCTGGGGAGAGACATGAAAGGTGGTAAGGACCTCACATTCCCTGACTGTCTCGGAGCCTTTAATACTGTCTCCAGGCGTGTGTGCAGCACAGTGGCATTTTGGCTCTCTCCCCCTCCACTGTCGTTTGACCTACCCCTAAGCATTCCCACACTGGCCTGCAATCCTGGCCTTACCCTGTTCTGGGCCTCTCTTCGGGTCTTTTCACTTATCCAGGGGAGTCTTTTGAGGTGTGCGACAAGGGCATCTTTGATCTCAGTGAATAGCTCCATGGCCTGTGGGGGTGAGGGTGGGGGACAGGGGAACAGAACCAAGATCAGCCTCAGCTCTGGCTCTGCCACAGCACTGACCTTCAGGGGGCCTTGGCTCTGGAGGGTGCCTTCACAGGAGGAGCTATCACAGAAGGAAGAAGAGCTCAGAAAGAGGAGGGGAAGGCCTTTTCCTAGGTACTAAAAAGGCAGGGCTAAAAAGGCAGTGCCAAGCACAGAGAGGAAAGCGGGAGCTGGCCACCACTGGTCAATCAGGAAGAGGGAGATCTGAGCTGGAGAGGCCCTTACAGCTGGAGCCAAGGGAGAAGAGGGCTGCCGTCTCCCCCTCTGCTCTTGGGATCGGGATCTTGTCCTCCCACCCTCCCTCTCAATGCATGCACTTCCTCTCTTCGCCTTTCTGAGCTCTTCAGCTTCCTAACAAGTGGGCCTCTCCCCATCTTCAGGGCCTGGAAGTATAGTTCCTGTTTTTCAGCCACCCAGCATCTTGCATGCCTCCTCTCTTGGGGGAAGCTACGTGTTGGGGTTTAATGTGCTCCTTGGCATACATAGAAAGTGAGTGACAATATTCGGAAGCCTGGGCTCTGGCATCAGACTGCCCCAGTTCAGTCCTGACTGTGCTGTTTGGTAGCTGTGTGACCTTGATCGAGTCATCTCACCTTTCCATGCCTCAGTTCTTGGTCCTATCAAATTAGGATGATACCCAGACTTAAATAAAGTCGCGGGTGAAATACTTGCAAGAGTCCCAGCATGTGACAAGACACTCACCAAGTGTCCTGTAGTTATTTATTTGTACTCCTCAAGGTTACGTCACCTCACGCTCATGTCATGTCATGTGTTGCTCTAAAGTCTTAGATAAACAGGGAGGAGCCTTAAAGGTCAGGGAGTTCGATTTTCTCATTTTATGGTTGAAGAAACACAAGACCAAGGAAGTCGGTGACGTGTCCAAATTAGTGCATGTTATGCCTCCTCGTGTTCCATAGCTGAACTGTGCCCACCCAGGGGGTGGAGGGGCCTCTGGGATCCCCCTGTCCCCCACACATACTACTGAGAAGCATGCAGTCCATAGGACGGGGCAGGGGGCGCAGCGGGGGATCGCTCTCACATACAGCACTTCGGATGCCTGGGCCAAATGCCTCACGAACAAACAAGGCCGCCAGGGTGGGCTGGAAGAAAGTGCCTGTGTCCTCCACACATTTCATCCATCGCGGGTGGGCTGGCTGCAGAGACAAAGTTGGAGTGAGTCTAAGGCTCTTTCCTCACCAATCTTCTCTAGACCTTCACCCCAGAGCCTGCTCTCTGCCCTGGAGTCCCTGATTTATCTCTCTTTATTACCCCCTCTGGCCATACATTCCTACTCAGCCTATAGGGCTTGGGTCCTCTGCAGCTGGTCTTGTGAGCCTGGTTGAGCAAATTGCCTATTAATTGGAAAGCAAGACTCCCGGCAGGCATTGCTCTGAAGGAATACAAGGCTCCTGGGCAGG